TCCATTAATTTTTCTGTAAGGAAACCTATATTCCAAGTTCCTATCCTAATTTTAGTTTCATAGACTAGCTTCTTTGCCCACATCCGTCCTTGATGTGGGAACCCTTGCCTATTTAACACTGCACCCGGGCGCCAGTGCAGCGGCCCTTGCACACTTGTCACTGTATTCAGGCCATACAGCGTGTCGCTTCCAAACGGCAGTGTTGAAAAGGGCAAAACCATTGAATGAAAAATTTGCTTGCTATAAATTTACATGAAATTAATACAGTAAAATTTTGAAGGAGTTTAAAGTTTATCAATAAAAAATTCAAATGTAATATTCTCCAACTCAGTTTTCATCTTTATCATATGTTTCTCAATTTTCTTTCCCAATAGATACTAAAAATTTTATTCCATCAAAATTCTAAATATTTGAAAGTTTTCACATATTTCTTTCTTAAAAACGTAAAAATGAGCGTCAATTTAAAAATAGCATGGTTAGATCGGGTCGGTTCGTAAGAAAACAAAATCTACGTGTTTAATGCAGGTTATAATTTCTCTTGTGCATGAACTCATCTAGAAGGAGAAGAAAATCCGTGGAAGCGAAATAAATGGACTGAATGATCTGCTACAAGCCTAACCTAAAAAATTACCTTTGCAAACGAATACAAACACGTCACGTTCAATCTCATTCGTACTCGTCAACCAAATCAGCTGTTTTGTGTTACAGCCAAGTCAGCACCAGAACAGAGAAACGGTCTCTCTTTTGGGCGTGGTAGAAAGCCACACGGGTCAAATCCTACCCTACACTCACAAGTTACTCCCTTATGCGCCCATTCAAATCCTTCGTTCATCCGAAAACTAACGGCCAAACTATCAATACCGCATACAAATTCTTGCGACGTTACCTTTGCAAAGCATAATTCATCCACTAATTCACGACACGTGTCCGACGAAATCCCCCACCTCCGTATTCTTTCAGGAACCTTCTCGAATGGAAAAGCATATCGCAGCTTCTCGCGCCTTCCATCTCTTTCCTGTTCTTTCTCTCTCTCTCCTCCCTTCTCCTTGCAGAAATTTACCGTCCGAATCTCGACTAGTTAATGGCTGCTCCGCAGCCGACGGCGACGGGTACGCAAGAAGGTCAGAGATCGATCCCGACGCCATTTTTGACGAAAACTTACCAGCTCGTCGACGATCCAGAGTTGGACGACGTGATCTCGTGGAACGAAAACGGATCCACCTTCATCGTGTGGAGACCGGTTGAATTCGCCCGGGATCTCCTCCCCAAATATTTCAAGCACAACAACTTCTCTAGTTTCGTCCGACAGCTTAATACCTACGTGAGCCCTCCTGATTTCCCGAATTAATATCCAGAACACCCCGTCGCGCTAGTATATTCGATTAATCATTGTATGAAATTACAGGGGTTTCGAAAGATCGTACCGGATCGATGGGAGTTCGCGAACGATTCGTTCAAGAGAGGCGAGAAACGGCTCCTCAGCGAAATCCACCGCCGAAAGATCTTCCAGCAGGCGGCGGTTCCAGCCCAGCCGACGGCGATTCCAGCGCAACCCGTGGCGATGGTGGTTCCGGCGAACCAGACAGAATCGCCGGTGAGCTCGGGCGATGAGCAAGTGATATCATCGTACTCCTCGCAGGGAGTGCTCGAGGCTTGCAGCAGCGAGGCGGAGCTGAGGGAGGAGAACGAGCGGCTGCGGCGGGAGAACGCGCGGCTATTGAAAGAGCTCGGCCAGATGAAAGGCCTCTGCAACAAGATCCTCCAAGTCATGTCCAAATATGATGCCGGTTATCAGATCAACGGCGGCGAAGCTGCCGGGTGCGGCGCAGGAAGATTGGAAGCGGATGGTTCGCCGGAACTAGAGATGCTTCTGGCTAGAGGACCGGTGAAACTTGAAGCGGGGGTGTTCCCGAGGCTTTTCGGCGTGGCGATCGGATCGAAGCGGGGGCGAGCTGAGCAGGTCGAAGAGGAGTCGCAGAGGTCGGTGGTGGATGTGAAGACGAAGCCGTCGGATTTGGCAGCGGATCGGACGGTGCAGGTGATCGGTCAAGAAACTTGGCGGTTGGACTGTTCCAGGCCGAATCATGTAGCGTTTAAAGAGTAGGGCTGGCACTTGACTGCTTGCTATGCTGATCACGTGAGGACGTCGAGCGAGCCTTCTCTTTTCCTGACTCTTTGAGTTTGTAGAGTTGGATAATTAATTTAGTTTCAGGTTTTAGTAATTTCCCTTTAATTTTTGGTATTTTTTCAATTATTAGAAGATAGATTATTTATGTCGAGTTCAATTGAATAAATGATATACAACTAAAAAAAAAGTGATGATTTATTGGTAGAACTTTCTCAAATTTAGAGTATATTAGTTTTATTGCATGAACGTGAATAAAAATTTATATTATTAATATTTTAATGACATTATCATTCTATATTTTTTTAATATAAATTATATCATTTTTAAATATAGTGCGAAAGCTTAATTGTGATGGTGATATTACATGCACACACATGTTATAATTGATAGCTAGTAAGAGCATGAAGTGAAAACACAATATACAACTCATAAAAATAAGAACTAAAATCAATTTTTATTTGATAGGAACATGAGATGATAAGAGGAAGAGGTGGAAACATATAAACATATAAAATTTTATTATTATAGTAGTAAACAATTCAAACAACCGAGTGTTGAATTCAATTCCTTCAATTTTTATTTGATTCATAAACTTGCCTTCTAACCCTCCTCAAACATTCATAAACTGTAGTATGATAAAATGTAGTATGATAAAAGAAACATATCTAACTTCATTACTATATATTATGCAATGCAAAAGTAGAAACCCAATCTCCTAAAGGTGTTTGAACTAAAAATCAGATAACGGTACAAAAGTAAATAAAAAAGAATGTAAATCATGCTTCTCTTAACCTATCATTGTATTTAAAAATCAAAATCTAACATGAAATGAATAGTAGAATATTTTATCCATATAAAAGCCAAAGAATTTGTAAGGCCTTTCTATATACAGATCATATAGGTTGATTGAATATGTTTCATAATATACAATAAGCAAAATTGAGGAAGAAAATCTCACTTTCATGTTTATGTTGAATCTCTTTCAGTTTAATTAAGTGAGACCCCACACCTGCATAATGTGTTTGATGATTCTCCTTGTCAAGAACCTTAAGCACTATATGTCCACCAGGATAACATATGGATTCCCACCAAATGTATTGAAATGTATCATTTGAGACATCACTTGAGCTATTTTATCTCAGGAGTCATGACTACTGCTCCAAACAGTAAGCCACTATCAATACCCTGCATTTTTGACAAATAAATAGTCATCCTTAGTCTAAGGATCACAAGTTCAATTCACATTAATTTGTTAGATTGATTGAAGCTAGATGTTGATTATCTACAAGTCATGAGTAATATGATACTAAAATATAACTCAAACTATAATGCATTAATGAATTTTGGAACTTCCTAAAAAAAGAAATCCTTGATATTTGCACGGGAAGATTTATATAACTCCATCCAAGCCCTCTTTCAAGCACAAGAAGAGTTATATAATCAATCACACAAGCAATAACATAAGAGGATGAGTATGCGCATAGTAATCCTGAAAAAATCTAATATAACTTCAGGAGTCCTGTAGTGTCTTGTTGATACAATATAAGTGTGATCCTAGTATGCTGTATGCGTATAGTAATCTCATATTGTGATTAGGAAACTGAATCAATAAAAGGAAATTAAAAATTCAACAATTTATGAAAATAAATGAGCAAACTAAGATTTATTAAGTATAGAATTTAACACTTAACAAACAACAAACAATTATTTAATTTAGGTATGAGAAAAATAATAACTTGTGATCAAACACATTTACATGCTCTTGAGAACCAACAAGAATATTGTCCAACCTCAAATCATTATGAATGAGACACAAATCATGCATAATTGCACACATGTTCAACAATGACAAATAAGATTAAACTTCCCCTCCATACAACAACTAAAAACAATTGAAAGAAATGTAAAATGAATAGTACATGCTTGGATGCAAATCATATAGATAAAAATATTAAAAATCATAATTTAATTTTATCACTAATAAAATTTAATGAGTTAAAAAAAAATCTATCCTCACTAAAAGGTTTTCAAATAAAACAATGATTGTCCAAGGGAACATCATTGAAAAGTTGTTGAAGAATTTCAATCAAAGCATCATCCCATTGTTTTTTATGCCTCTAACAATCTTAATTGCTACCATTTTTTAGCTTCTCAATCCCAACATTCTAGAACCTGATCAAAGGTACCAAAAAAGAAGCATTACTAAATTAGTACACTTATGCTAAAAAATATGTTTATGTAAGTTGAGAGATGTTGAAACTTATGAGATGTTGAAAAAAATATTTCATGGTAAAGCCATCCACATAGAGTAGTGCAATACTTGTAAAAAATTGTACTAAATCATATATAAGTGAAATTAATAACAAACTTTCTCTTCCTTTGGTATGATAAGTCAGTTCCTTTTGAAGGTTATCAACAACATGCAAATGCCAATAGCAATTCGAGATAGTTGGAAAAAGATATTAATATGTGATTAACATAGTTAATGATGAATAAATGTGATTAACAGATTTTAGCATGAATAAATAAAGGCCAATGAAAGCTTAGATTCACCAAATTTTATTAAAGAGTTGTAGAGCCTTTCAAACCATAGCTTCACTTTGATAATACAACAACATCAACATTAAGCCTTTGTCCCACTTCACTTCAAAAAATTTATCAATAATATCGCTAAATGGCTACAACGCATCATCTTTTTCATGATCATCTAGACATTAATGATAGAGATGTCATTAAAGATTGCATGAAAAATAATCATACCTGAAATGAGATGCCATAACAGATGCATGAAAAATAATCATACTTGCAATTCTTTTGTGAGATCGATAGTAATCATATCTATCATAGCCAAATGATCCTTTCGCCCTCGAACAAGCATATATCGGCTAGTTAATGTATAATCAAATTTTTATAGACCTAAATCTGCATGTTTATTTCAAAAGAAATAAGAACTGATATATAAGCATAAAAAAAGATATAACGAAAAATAAAGAAGGAGATTTATAATCGTTGACCAATCCGCTGCAGTTTTCTTTTAAGCATTAGAAACAAGTTTCATTTTCTACCTTGCAAGGCCATATCAAATGATTTTCTTAAACTAGTAATATCTACTTTCTGAAGAATAGTTTCTTGGTTGCAGGGGCGGATCCAGCTTCTTTTTTTAGGGTGGGCAAAAAAAAAAAAAATTTTATGAGGGATGGGCAAATATGCTTAGGATTGATAAAAGTAGGGCAAAAAAAATTTTTTAGGGGGGGCAAAATGCCCAAAACACTCAAAATATTTCAAAATCTCTCCTCTAAATATTTAATTTTTTTTTTAGGGTGGGCATTTGCCCACCCTAAGCCATGGGTGGATCCGCCCATGCTTGGTTGATCCTCCATGAATTTTCTAGACTTTCAGCCTCCAAATAGCCGTGCTTTGTATGCAATAGACACTATAAAATGTTTAAGATAGTTATTATAAATATAAACTATCATGAAAATTTTCTAGGAATAAAAAAGATGGTGTTTTTACGTAAGAAAAATACTATAATGAAATGTGAAAACTAAATTACGGATCCTATTTCAATTTCTTGACGTATAATATTTTTGGACTGTATTGCTCCCAAATACTCTCCTCCAATAAATTGAACACAATCTCATTTGTAAGATGTCGAAAAAATGGTGCTCTAAAGAACATAATTCCCTTATATGCATGCAAGCATAAATTATTTGTAGGACATGATTATTCACCAATGTTGTAAAAGACCAGTTGAGTAAGTTGGTGAGAATTATGCACAAGGCATGAAGAGTGGTAAGATTATTGATGCTAGAAGGAACTGGACCTCCCAAAAGATTTTAGTGAAGATGACTGTATAAAAGAAATATCCATTAAAAAGAAAACTCATAAGTTACAATTAATTGTGCTCGGACAATCTCAAGTGTTTGTACCGCTCCTACAGAAGTTGGAATCGTCTCATCTAATTTATTTATATCTAGAAGTTTCCCATCTAATTCAAATTCATTACTTCCACAATCATAAATCTCCTATCATTTAAATAATTTAATGTACATATGTCTTCTACTCTATATCTTAAATAAATCACAAGCAGCTTCAATGAGACCATAACACTTAATATCATACAACATAGCTAATGCCTAAAGACTAAACTCAACCAGATGTAACCCTAAAGCTACCAAAAAGTCTTGGGTGTTTTGAATCTCATAATTGGTATAAAATTTATATAGAAGAATAGGTAAAAAAATGCACATAAATTTTTTTATAATAAGGACATTATTTTATAATTAAAAAAAGAGGTTAAAACATTTCATTTATTTAATTCATTTAAGAAATTTCAAATACATCAAAATTAAATTAGAGGGAGAATTCTAAATGCATCAATTTCTTCAAACTGAGAGGCATTTGGAGGCATAGTTGTATGTAAATAATTAGTATTGATAATAATCATTATAACATTAAATATTAATTTAAGTTTTCTTAAATTAAGTTCACATAAGACTAACGTTGACGCCGCCGCTTTGACATGAAATTGCATTTTATTTGGATAATTTTTAGTGTGTGTATATATATATATATATAGATAATATTATAAATAGGAGCATTATATTTAATTTAAATAAGCAATAAGATCATGTATTTAAAAAAATTTAAAAAGAAGCAAACTAGTCAAATGACCTAAAGAATGCACCAAATGAGTCAAATCAATTGGCACATTCAGCCGAGTCAACCGAATTAAAAATTTAAATTACTATAGGCCATAGCAATGCACCAAACAGTTTGACGCATTCAATGGAATGTGCCAAACAGAATGACACATTCCATTAAATGTGCGAAACTGTTTGGTTATTCTAAATAAGCCAAACAGTTTGGTGCATTCAATGGAATGCGTCATTCTATTTGGCTAATTTGCTTCTTTTTAAAAAAAAAAAAATAATGCTCTATTTATATTCCTAATTTAATTAAGCATCATGCTCCTCCTTATATATATA